CCAGAGAAGATATGGCTGCCCTGGAGAAGGATTATGAAGAGGTTGGCACTGACAGCATGGGAGAGGAGGATGAAGAGGGAGAGGAGTATTAAGTTAAAGGGCCAAACATCATCCGGGCTTTTCATATCACATATTGCAAAAGTTATCATGAATGCGACACATTCCCAAAAACACTGATAAATTGTGGTCAGTGATCAATTATCAGTATTATCAATAAAATGTTCTCATGAACCTTTTAAATGATGAATTGTGGTTATTCATGAACTCGTCCAGCCTTGGCAGTCTATTTAACAAATATTTTGTTGTAGATTACTACAACAACAATCGCAGAATACCTTGCAGCCTAGAGACTAATACGCATTTCATACTGCGTCATCTAAAGTGGTCTCAGACCAATTAATTATGTATTTAACTGTTACAGCTGTTACAGATTATAACGTTTGCTTTATTTGCTATTAATACAAAGGCTTTTTTCCAGCAGAGATATGCTGGATTTCAGAATGTGTATTTAAGTGCAGCTCCCGTTCATTTACAAAGGAAATTCTAGCTTCTCGGTCTTTGCCAATTTCCTGCCCTTTTGTGCCATGATGATAATCCATAAAGTAGACAACGGGCTGGGCCGGCCTTGTACCTGCAGTTGCTTCTCTCAGCCACTAGATGGGAACAAGGTGACCAGCTAGTAAAGCTGTGTTACTTTTTTTTAGTCCTATTGATATTTAGTCATTTAAACATGGCTGACTAGTCTATGAGCTCTTCATGTGTGATCCCGATGAGTCACACACTTAAAGCCCACTTCTTTACACTTCTCTGTTCTACTAAATGTAAGTGCTATATATAAAGGGCAATATATGTATTAAGAACAGAACTATTATCAGTTAAAAGCACTTAAAGTATTATAGTATTATTATTAAATTAAAATTAAATTATTATAGGCCTGAATATTATATTATTGGATAATAATTATTGTACTTGTGACAATACATTTGTTAGAAGCATTTTAAGGTTAAAGTTGGTCATCCCCAATGTTGACTACTTCTCATTGTGTGCTTCAATGTATTAGAATGAATACATTTCCAAACGATTGCTGTCAGATACATTTAGCTAGTGTAGTAAATGTTTAATGGGAAATGATCGAGTAAAGTTCAAGTACCTTAACATAGTTACCTTAGCATAGTGGGCCGCTTGAGTAAATTCAACATGTCACCACTGCATTGGTAACACAGTGACATGGAATTGCTTAGAAAATCTATGGGATAATAATTTGGTTTATATGTCAAGTTGCTGGTTTCATAAGCAACAATAGCACGGGAGCAACAGGCAGCGGTTCGGCGCAGGGCGGGTCTGGCGACGTTTCCAAACTCTCGCACGTTCCAGACGCTCTATTTCTCTCTCTCAGCTGATCGTGACGTAGCGCGTGCAGCTTAGAACAGCACACGAGGCGAGCAAGGCCGAACGTCCGTCTGTTTTTTTGTTGTTGTATCTGTTGGGGACCGTGGAGTAGACCGCGGAGGCATAACGGAACACCGCAGACATAATAGTGTTTTTTAGAGAATAGTATTTTGTGTCTGGGCGGTGGAGAGAAGGACCGAGAGGGGAGGAGGGGGCAGGCTGTATGTGCGGCTGTCACGAAGAGAGGGAGAGCCTGCATACCAGAACCAGAGACACCGCTATCATAACTAATTCATGGTCGCTCCAAAGCGGTGGACAGACTGCTAAACTGCTCACTCATATCCCGAAAAACTGAGACGGTAGGTGTTGTGAATGTGGCTACCCACTGCACTGTAGTTTTATTCGGCTAGAGACGTCCAACTTTACCATAATAGGACATATTCTGTCAACCGAAAAAAAACAACAAATAACGCTAATGGTATACCCTTTAATGTTTATTCTATATAGTCATTGAATACAGACCGCACCTGCGCCTTCAAGTGCATCTGCCCGTGTATGTACGTTTGTGTAGGCCTACTGTCATGTCAGCACCAGTTGTCAGATGGCACGACGCTAGAAATAACATAGTAATTATACTTTAGTGAGCGCATGGTTGTTTCCCGAGGGGGCATAGAAAGTTATGTTTAGTTATTTTATCTCAGTCTGGAAGTCCCCTTCTGCCCTAAAAGCGTTGGAAGTGCACTAATGAGATTGGCATGGTGTTTTACTCTGACTGTACTGAGGTCTTATCATTTCTATAGGGCACACTAAGGTGAACATTTTAACCTTAACATGACATGAATAATTAATATGTGAGCATCCATCTATAGGTAGTTTAGCCATCAAACAAAGATTGACCTATTGGAGTCTTTTCATGCATGTATCTGAGATAACCTCATGAGTAAACATGAAAACAGTGCCAGCAGTGACTATTATTATCCCGTACCCACACACTAATTATGGCCATAAATGTGGGACTAATCAAGTATTGATTCTAGTCTTAATATATATGTCAGTCAACTCATCATTACTCATTGCTTGTGTGATGCATGATGACTCATTCCTAAAACTAGTGACAGAACAGCAGCTTTAAAAAGCAATCCTGTCAATGCCAATCACATGTGGGCGGAACTTGATAAGTTGACTTCTTCGGCAAAAATGTATTTGAGATTAATTTCGCTGGAGCTTTTTCATCAGGAAAAAGATCGAATGAGGTGAATTTCATTGAGTGTAAAAACCAAAAGAAACGGATATTATTGTCACATAGACACTAATTAACAACCACAACACAGGTGTTTTGAATTACTCTGGCAGATTAGTCAAAACTGGGAAGAGCATGCTGGGAAGTAGATGACGTCCTAGACATTGCCTTCTTTAGCCGTTGCTTATACTCCCCCTGTTGTATATGACCACTTGTCTTCAAATTAAATAAATAATGAGCATAGTGCTGTTTCTTTTCCTTTTTGGGGATTTTGGAAAATACCAAGGATTTACAAACTGTTCGTTAACAGACAGGAATTTGTTAAATGCAGTACGTGTGTGTCCAATCAGAGTTGAGTACATTCTGTATTCAAAAGAAAGATCTATTGTTTCTGTCAGGGGGCGGTGTGGTGACGAGTGACAGGAGGCAACATGGTGGACTACTATAACGTCCTGGGAGTGTCCAAAACAGCCTCTCAGGATGACATCAAGAAGGCGTGAGTATCCAGGGAGTCACTTTACATAATTCATAAACAATGAAGTGATAGTATAATAGAGTTTACTTTCTTACTTATCTTTGTCAGGTTATATAAGTATTCTTCACCTCAAAAATGTGTCTGGATTTTATGAACTTCAGACCACATTCAAATTCTTTTTCAAACAAAAACATTCCTGTCCAGAACACGAGGGATAACATGACAAAATACCAACAATACAATATCTCATTATACGTTGTAACTAAACCCATAAATAGAGGTTTAAAAACCACTGGTATGACAAATACAGACTTCTCAAAATCATAGAATGGTCTCACTGGTGTCTTATTTCTTCAAGGCTCTCCGTAGTGCATTGCTTGTTGTTGTAGAAGAGACCATAGTACTAGTACTATGTCTTTATATATTGTTTATATTTATTATATATGGTTTGTATGTATGAGTCAATGTTTGTGTTGTGGTTTCAGGTACAGGAAACTGGCACTGAAATGGCATCCAGACAAAAATCCTGACAACAAAGAGGAGGCAGAGAGAAAGTTCAAAGAACTGTCGGAGGCCTATGAAGTCCTCTCTGACAGTAAGTCAGTGATTGTGTATACACTGTGTGTGTGTGTGTGTGTATGTGTGTGTGTGTGTTGTCAAGTGGCTGTTGGAACTTGATCTTTATTGATGCTGTGAGTAAGGAATTTGAATCTCTGTGTTAAGATGTCAGACTCTTCAGGGAGGAACTTCATTCATAGAATCCATAAATCAGTTTCCAATGTCGTACATTTTGAGTTTAATTTCTGTTGCATGAGAAAATATCGATCCATCGTTAAATTGCACTCTGTTCCTCTGCTCCAGCGAGTCAGCGTGATGCATACGACAGATATGGAAATGACAGCGCGCGACACACAGGTAAATAAAACTCGGCTCTAAGGAGGTATTGAGATATGACATGATTACAGTCATTACCTTCCCTTCTTCTCCTCTCACTCTCTTTGCTTTTGCCTCTCCACTTATTTCCTTCCCTATGTTTCCTGCCCCCTCCACTTCATTCACTTCTCTCCTTTCTGAGCCCTGATATGTTTTCTTCTCCGTCTACTCTTTCTCTCTTTTGGTTGCTCTTCACCCGCCTGACCCTGACGACTTCATCTTCCAGGTTCCTCCAGCTCGGACTTTTCATCAGATTTCCCAGGATTCACCTTCACATTCCGCAACCCAGATGAGGTTTTCAGAGAGTTTTTTGGCAGCCAGGATCCCTTTGCTAACTTTTTTGGTAAGTCATACACAATATTCATTCGGGCTTGATTTTTTTATGAATATTTTGTTTGAAAATCAAACATTCTACTGTTTACATTTGGGGGAAATGAATACTATTATTGAAGTAATTGTCAGTTTAAATTTCACAGTTCTTTTTTTTTGATGGACCCCCTCTGGACACCTGAGAATCTTTACTTTTGGGAGTCTGATTATCCTACTTGGGGAAAATCTCCCTTTTTGTATTCCTTCACTTGTTGAGCAGTATTAACACCATACGCCCCCAAAAACATAAGATCCCATTGCTTTACTTAAGTCTAACTTCTTAGTTAGTCAGTATGTCAGTAATTATAAGTGTCTTTCTCTTTCTCTCATCCAGATGACTTCTCATCCTTTGGAGGCTCGTCCTCTCGCCTCGGCCCCAGTCGGTTCTTTTCTTTCCCTTCAGCACGAGGTGAACAGCTACATGCTGAAACTTGCGAACACAGTGTCCTGTACTGTCGCTGTCAAATTAGACATGGCATATCATATTGTGACCACAACTTCAAAAGCACTGGCGCTGAACAACTGCATAATTTTATAGTCAACACAATACACGCACCACAGCGAGGGCAGCTATAAGAGCTGATGGAGAATAGTCCACTGAAATATGAGGGCACTGATTTTTTAATATTTGTCAACATGTAAACATTCTTTTTGTTCAAGAGATGAGAGAGAAGGTTACCAGACGTCCTAACTCCCTGTTACATGGAAAACACTGCCATCTGTTAGAATTGACACCTCAAACATAGTTAGGTAGTAACGTTAACATGTTTTTGAATCAATGCAAAATGTAGATTGAACTCCATGTTATCATAGCAGTGATACTACAGAGTAACTCACTGGACAGGCCTCACAGGTATTATCTTTGCACAAACTGAGATTTTGTAATGATACATCAAAATGAACCAATCTCTCTTTTTTTTCTTTTCTCTTCTCTTCTGCTCTCCTTTCCTGATCATCTGTCCTTCTTCAGTTGATTTTACGTCCTTCTCCTCTTCCTTGGGTGGTCTGGATGGGATGGACAGCATGGGCGGAGGGATGGGCAACTTCAAATCAGTTTCTACCTCCACTCGCATCATAAATGGAAAACGCACCACCACCAAGAAGTACGTAAGAACACTTACCGAAACCTGGGAAATCATCCCAACAGGGACACATGGCCGTAGCTTGCTATGAGCAATGCAGTAAGGCATGAACAGGAAATATTTTAGAAAATTATCTGAAATTTGTAATAATTGTACAGTTTAATTTCCTCACACTTTCAAAATCCTGTCAATGTAACATACATCACTTAAATACCATTTATCTCTGTATTTGCCTTGCTTACAGGGTAAAGGAGAATGGGCAGGAGAGAACAGAGATTGAGGAGGATGGAGTGTTAAAGAGCGTCCTAATTAATGGTAAGACCATATACATTGAATGGTGGGACAAATACACCTCAGTTGTATGTATCATTTTCTATCCCTTCACTTTCATGAAACTATATTGGTCCACAAAAATCCAACGGTTTCAGTGAGTGCTTCTATGAAAGAAGCACGAAGTCAACTTATCTTCAACTGAGTCCAACAAATTATCCTAAACTGGTACCACGTGCAAAAACAAAAAAACGACGACAGAAATGCTTATGTAAAAGCTATCAAGTCAAACGTTGGAATTTTATTAGCAGAGGTTTTGGTATTGAAGGTAATTTAAGAGAATTGTGGCACAGGGCCATTCCTACAGAAGTCCATTTGCCAAACACACCTGTGTTGTTTTGTGTTCCCAGGTGTGGAGGACGGAATGGCCCTCGCACTGGAGCTGAGCCGACGAGAGGGACAGCACCGTCACTCACCTCAGAAGCCACACATCCAACACAGATCACCCGCCGATCCCGACAGACCCCACCCGAGCCCTCACTCTGCACCCACACACCGGTCACTTAGCTCCGCCCCCTTCTACAACTACGGGCTGACGGGCAGCAGCGAGGATGACGAAGCAGACGAAGACCTGCAGATGGCTTTGGCATGCAGCCTGTCAGAAATGGAAGCCCAGCAGAGAGCAGCCGCTACCAACTTCATATCAGGTGCTGGGGGTGTGGGCAGAGCCATGAGCGACAAAAGTGGTGGCCTTAAAGGAGGCGGGGTTTTTAAGACTACACATTTTCATGTGGTTAATACTGAAAAGGTGGTGGCAGGGGAGAGAGATGAAGAGGGGAAGTTTAAAATGGGCTCAGGGCCTGGAGCTGGGTGGGGAACGGAGGAAAAGGAAACCAGGGAAGCAGACTTCTCTCCTGAGTCCTCCACAACCGCCAACACTACGCCACTAAGCCAGAGCAGTGAAGAGGAGTCTGAACCTGCCATGAAACAAAAGGATGGCAGTGTGAAAAAGAAAAAGAAGTGTGGGTGTATTATGTGCTAATGCGGTGTGTGTGTGTGTGTGTGTGCATTTGCAATGCCTTATTTTTTATAATCACCTCAGTGTTCTGCCTACAGCCAAACTCTAATGTTATGTAGTTGCCAAAAGAGGATTGTGTCTGAATGTGTGTGAATTTGCCAAATATTTATGCAGACTGAAAAGAGTGGGATTCAGTGGACTTCAGATGTGGATGTAGATGTGTGTTGCGTGTGCGTGTGTGTGTGTGTGTGTGTTTTGCTGTGTGTGTGGTACAGCTGAGAGCCCGCCATAGACGTTTCCCATTCTGATTCTCTGGCAAAGGGAATGTATCAGAACTGTGGCACAAGCTCAGTCTGAAACAAAAGATCAAAATCAAATAGTTTTAGAAAGATATCTGTGTTTATCGGTCAGCTGACAGTCATTTCTAGAATATATATAAAAGCAAAAACACTGTGTAAATACACTCCCAGTCAGAATTGTTCAAACCGGTAGCACAACTTCTACTCAGAGTTGCAAGAGTAAGGATCGAATGTATCATTCATGTACATGTCTTGGCCTTTATGCCCTTACTAAAATATCATAACCGTGTTTGGTCAGATCATAGGTTGGGGGGGGCAGGGCACTTTATGAAGTTAGAGCACAGTGTACAATGGGTGCAGCATTATGACGGATTGTAAACCACAGTTACAATTAATCATCAGATACATATTTTCATATTTTGATCCTTTTGGTGCCTTTGCATGTTTTAACTACTTTACTACGTGTTTAATGTGCCAAGTTAGAAAAACGACTATTGTATTTAAAGCAAAGCAAATGACAAAGCTCTACATTAGCGGTTGGGAGTGTTGTCAGGTGTCCTGAGAGTACAATGTGCGAAAATATGGAGCTTCATCTCCAAATCGATGCTATCTTTGATTTCCCTTTGACTGCTTTGAACTGCCAGGGTAGCAGAAGTGCTGTAGCTGTGTTACCCGTCTATCAACAGCTGTGGATTAATTGCAACCTCAAGCAAAAACACTTAACCCCACCTGCTCCAGTTCAGCTGTAGTGTGCTGCTGACTGCTGAAATAAGATTGCATTAATAGTTAAAGTATTAATATTCTGCCTTCACTTTCAAAGATAACTATCATCACTGGTAAAAGTCAAGCACAGCTGTGAGAACACATCATTTTTTTAAATACTCGAGTAATTGCTGTTGTCTCTGTTTATGATTTCTCCTCTTCAGACATTTATTGCGTATGAAGAGAAGATGAGAAACAGGCAGATGGTTCCTCTTGCTAATATCTGCCTGTATTTTTGTACTACATGAACTTCCATGTGTTTGAATTTTTTTTTTATTTTCAGATTGTTAAAAGGGAAGTAACAAATAAAGATTGAGCTGAAGAGGATAATTGGGATTTTTGATTTTTGATTTCAGAATATGGCAGTAATAGTTCTGCATTAGTGACACTGATTTCATGCTGTACTAGTACTACCATTACTACTAAATTAACAACGATACATGAGAGGAACTGAAGTGGGGTTTTCCCTGTCATTCAATCTGAACCTGGTCAACAGAACCTGATCAGTGTGTTTACATTTGATGTCACTTGGTTTGTTGTTCATACTGACCCTTTACTCTCCCTCACAAGCTGCGTGTTGATGCTGAAGTCTGTTTCTCGTCTCTCTGCTCTCATGGCCTGTGTTGTGCAAGAGAGTTTCTCCTGTTTTCAGTTCAAACTAAGTTGTTTTAAGATCGACATTGCAACTGTTAGCTTGATAAAAAAAGAAGACCGTTCTCAAGATCTAGCTTTTCTCTTCTCCGGTAAATTTGTAACCAAACCCTGTAAGAAAAGAAACCTACATCTCCTATCCTATCCTATCCTGCACCACTTATCACAAATTTGAAATATATGAAATCATTCTTTTGTTTGTCTTACACTCCCTGCTTCCTGTTTCAGACTCAGACTTCGAGGCCTTCACAAGCTAACCTGATTGGCTCATGCTGTGCTGTGCCCTAGCCCCGCCGTGAGGTAAAGAACCAGTGTGACCCTGAAGCACCCTGAGAGTTGCCCCATAAGCCTTCATGTAGACGATGATCTTTCACAGGAGTCATGTTTATATCAGGTGATGCCTACAGTATTTGCATTACTGATACGTTGTAACATGTCCTTGTACATCTATTCCGACAGGTCAAACACTTGTCCCTCTCTGCCCACCATGGCTACTACCTGCTGAATGACACTTAATGACATGACACGAAAGATACATATGTGTGTGTTTCTATGTATATGTGTGAGTGTGTGTACTAAGCTCATTGTGGAGCACAAAGACTGGAAAGATGTATTTTGAAACCCAAGGGAATAGTTTTAAGTAATATCTGCATTAACTAACACTGTTTCAGCTTAATTCTAATTTGAATTATGTCTGCAAGTGGAAACTGGTGGAAACAAATAGAAACTTGTTTCTAGACATATAAAGCAGAGGAAATAAAGCATCTCCTGCTGACTACTCTGTATCAGTCCGTGGTAGTTTATCTTTGTAACGAGAATTGTCAGGGTCAGTATCACAGAATTGAAGATTAAAAATGCCAAAAAGTTAATTTGAGGTTAAAATAGATCTACTTGGCATATTGTAATACAGTTGTTTTTGGCTGTTCTACCCTTGTGCTGCTATTGATTGCACTTTTGATGCACTATTGATACATTTTGAATAATACATGTAAATAGCTTAAAATAGATGAGACAGACTAACCTGTCTCATGTACCTAAAGCTTGATTTATTGAACAAAAAGACACACCCACTAAACATCAGGGGTTTTGAAAATGAGCTTGAGGCTTGTTTTTAGTTGTTTTTTTTTGCTGCATCACGTCACAAATTTATTCAAGTCAAGTCAAAAATACATTTTTATAGATATTTTCTGATATTATCTGTCTGCTACATGAAATAAACACAATCATCAGGAGGGATTATTTACATTAATCACAAGGTTTTACACTGAGTAAGACAATAAAAGAACCCAAACAAAGGTACTTTGTGTGCAGAACGAGAGAGAGACAAGGCAAGGCGTACTTGGTGGTCAACGTACAGCATCCGTTACAAAAGGACCAGGGCTTAAAGCAAACCATCATGTTGTCATGGCAGACGAGAATAAAAACCTGCTGGAAATCAACGCACACTAGACGGAAGCATACAGTTACAACACACTCAGAGAGTTGAAATGAAATGAAACCTTACTGTGTATCAGCCAGATGGAGGCCTCACAAATTTGACACGTTTGTGAAAGGGTGTAACATCATTTTAACAATATACCAAAGAAAACTTGTAACGTTCAACAGAACAGCCAAACGAACCCTCTGTGTTGGTGGTAAATCATCTGTTGATGGCGGAGGTAATCATGTCATCATGTCCAGTAAAATGGGAAAATGAAGCAAAGATGGAATCAAATGGAAGCCGATAGGTAAACAGTGTTACACTTTATCATTACGACCATAAACAGAAGTGCATTCTATGCTGTCAGACTCAGGGGAAAGTTAAAGGGCACAGTAGATCACCCTTTGTCTAATTAGGTAGAAACGTCAGAGAGAAAAGATCACATTTGTACCATATTGGTAAAACGATTTGATCTTCTGTCCATATTTACATCCTGCCAAAAATAATTTAATTAAGTTCCAAAAAGTTTTATAAACCCAGAGAATGTGTAGATGGTAAAATACTGCATGCTGAAAACAAGAGCAGTAACTGCTCCAAGTGTGGTTGAGCAAATTCTTATTTACAGGGATGGCCAGACATACATGACGAGATCGTACGAGCGTGTCCTCACGAGTAATTCGTTCTGTGTGCCTGTGGATGTCCCCGACGCGTCCTCGGCTCACTGTGGCAAGGCTTTCAAGATGGCGTTCACCTCCTCGGCTACTGCTGTCAGCGCAAACTCAAACTGGTCCTGGTCAGGACGAGAGGTGGGGAACAGAAATAACAAGATGGGAGTGGAAGAGTGGAAGGTGTGAGAAGGGGATGGTTAGAGATCGCACTGAGGGAGACAACTGGATTATGATGGATGGACGTCCACTTTAAAAGTGCTGAAATAGTGCAAACACAGACAGACTCATGGTACCTTGGTGCGGACTATGCTAGGTCTCTGGTCTCTGATGTGCTCCAGTGAGGCTGCGATGTCAATCTCTTTCACTCCTAACAGGAACAGTAAAATCATCACTACCACAGTTTTTGACTCTGGTGCTACAGAAGATAAGAACCTTCTCTCTAAGCCTTCATTAAAACGTTGAAAACAGGAAGGAACTAATCCCAACAACTAAGAAAACAATTGTGGTGCTATCCAACTGACATTAGCTCGACAAGGTAAAATAAACCTTCAGTGTTTTTACTTTATTGCGACTACAGCCCCTCCTGCTGTCTACAAAAGGTAACACATCCGTGTAGGCAAACCTCTGCACAAATCCACTCTCTCACCAAATGTTGACCTTGTCGTCTTTTCAAAATATTTAGGTACTGAATTATATCCTATATAAATGTGTGCGAGCGACTCACCCTTGGCCATGCGGTTCAGCACCATGTCGATGAGGATGTACGCGCCAGTCCGGCTAGTGCCATCACTGTGAGAGTGACAGGTATGAAGGAAATTGTCAATCCACATGTAATTCTCCAAAAAGTGTTCTACCTCAATCTGCTTTCCAAACACATAATCATATTGGTCATATTGTACGATTCTACCAATTCTCATGTTTCACAGAAATCATTCGATTTTTTTTTTTTTTTACCCGCAGTGAACGATGATTGGGCAGGAACGACCTCTGTAACATTTATTCACCTTCCTGAAAAGCAGGAGCGAGAGACAGCAGGGAAAGAAAGGAGAACAGAAAAAAAGGCTTTATTATAAATGAGTTATTATAGACTTTGTAATCGCGACTAACCTCGTTCACATATTCAATGAATACACATAAATTACTTCAATCCGAAATCAAGACATGAATAAATGCTTAAACGGTAAGATCAGGAATGAGGTAAAGGATGTCAGGACAGGAACAAGTAGAAAGTGCATGAGGTTTGGGACGACTGTGATGTCAAAACAGGAAAGAATAGGTGAAGAGGAAGCCACAGATTCACTGTCCCTCTTGCAGTAGCCAGTCACACCTGCCAATGCTCATTTTTGTGACTATGCAACTGGAGCCAGAGTACTAGCTGCAAACCACAAAAATGACACTGGGAGATGTTAAAATACAAACCTATCAACCTGCACACTGGGAGAGAGGGAGAGAGAGAGAGCTAAGGTGGACGGATAGGGTATGGAATGTAGACCACGCCATGCAGAATGACGAAAAGATGGATGTGATGAAGGCGAGCAGGAGGATTTGAACCCCTCTGGGGTTAGGGTACCAGTGAGTCACCACAACATTACACGCACTGCATCCTGACCACCTGTTTTCCACATCCTGTTGAAATCAAGGGGCACATGTTGGGAGAGTCCGTGTGTGCATGTATGTGTTATTGTATAGTTTCTTACCTGCGGAAGTCCAGCAGCGGTCGCGTGGAGGTGGGGATGCCGTCAGCCGGCCAGCTCAGCAGGTGAAACTGCGTCAAGGTTCTGGTCTCCTGCGTCTGGACGTTCTTCAGGTAGAAGCTGCGCACCAGGAAGTCTTTACACCAGATGTGCTCCGACACCAGGTTCACCTTATAAACACAAAGAGACAGAGAGGGAAAGAAAGAGCGGGAGGGATGGCAGACAGAAAATAGATATATGAACAAGAGGGTAAACAAAATGATGGATGCAACGTTTCAACGCACAAGATCTTTTTGTGTGTTGAAAATATTTTTTTTTCTCTCGCTTTTTATAAGCAAATGAGAAAAAGACCTTATTATTGCGATTACAGATGTGAGGACACAAATTGGTGCGTAACCTCGGTTTGGAGGACACATACCATTAAAGAGGGGGAATGGACATTTTTGTTTACTGTTGTTAAAAGGAACATTTTATGATGAATGTACAATATACGTCTATTTAGTTTTTTCCCCTCAAAATTCGGATTTAAATCAGAATTATGCAATTACAATTCTGTATTTAATTTCAGAAATCTGACTTTATTCTCTAAACTCTGAGATCAATCTCGGATTAATCTTAAACCCACCTTGTGTACATATTTGTTTTGAACAAAACTACTATAACCACAGGTCGAATGCAGAGAAGCCACTATACTCTGAACGTTTGTTGCTATAAGAGCGTTATAAAACAACACTGTGCTAAATGTGAAATTAAAGGTTGTGAGTTACGACAGCAAATGAACCTCATAGATGTGGTAGAGTGATGAGCCCTCATCGGGCCAGTATCGCTCGCACTGTTTCACTCCATCTTCCACCAGAGCTGTCATCATCACTATCACGGTGCAGCCGTTCTCCCACACCATCTGTGGGTTGGAGAGAACACACACACACACACACACACGGAGGTATACACACACATCTGATTGTCACATTTAAATAAAAATGTGAGTAACAAGGCAGATTTCCTGCAGATGGACTGAATGGTCCAATGGCCTACGTTGGACCATTCGAAGATTGCACTGACCTGCCAGAAATCAGCGACAGTGTGAGCCAGTGGTCCCTGTGTGGCGATATAAGCCGGCTGGCGAGGGTCATGATCAACCTGTGGGTTGAGAATTCATCTTGTTGAACTCATCAACAATGAAAATCGATCAGCGATACAGTATAAAGTATATACTTAGGTCAAATATCTCAAATTTCTTTATAGTGCATCAGACAAGATGATAATCAGACCATCTGTTTATTCAAATCCTCATATTGTACGAGGGGATAAATCATCAACCAACAAACCGAAAACGATAAAAATCATCAAATCCCGAAAAAGTTTTAGATCGTTTGAAGAATTCTTACAATGATGCTGGCGTTGATGTAGTCTTGTTTATTGGAATTCACTTCAGTCTTCAGCTTCACCCGAGAGTGATCATCTGTAAAAGAAAACACCTGTCAAGGACAAGTCACCGCATGAATGACTAGGAAATGTGACTGATATGAACACGACACCATCACAGAGGGAGAAAGAAGTGATTACAGTGACACACTGGTGAACTAACAGGGGAGAGATTCAGCATGTCTGTTTTTGTCCATGTTGCTCGGGACTTGCGCCGCAGCTACTGAACTGGGTTCAGCCTGGTAGGAGCACAACGCCTCCCACTCCCTCTGAAGGCGGTCCTTATTACGCAGGTGATCCTCCATATAAGCCTGACAGAGAGATGACATGCACATAAAGTGTAGGCCGTTAATATCTGCTAAAATAATTTTCACAGCAAGAGATTCCTTCGCTACAGCAGGAAGTCTGGTCTCTCCACTCAATAACTCACCAGTATCATGTGACCGGTAGAGATGTCCATGTTGGACTGGGCTGGCTCTTCGCTCCAGGACGGGGTGGAGCTGTGGGTGGAGGATGGGCTGTGCTGGGGACCGTCGCTGAACTGGGAGGAAACGCTGCTGACACGGGACGTGTCCGTACCCCTTCGACCGCCAGCACCTGTGACTATGGCAGACCCCGCCATTGTGCTACTTACCCCGGCCACACAGTCCTGGCGGCTCAGGGAGGATTTGGACGCCATGTGCTGTCGACATAGCTCCTGAGAGAAAAGTAAGGGGAGGGAGAACGGTAACAACAAGGTAATAGAAAGATAACAGGGCTATATGGATTATTATTAATACAGATTAATTGAATAATAAGTTACTGTAAGATTTGATGTACTATATATGAAAAACTTTGACTATACAACGTATTGTCTTGAATTTAACTTCAAACACTAACTGCTTAGCATATTTTTGGTAATTGCATTAATCAACTGATTGTTTCAACATTAATATCGGCATGTTGTACTGATTGCATGTCATTAACATTCTATGTATAATATGTGTTACTTATAGGCATTCATCTTCCTAAACTAAGAGACATTTCTTTATTATTACCTATATGCTCTCAATAACAAATTTAAATTCACACATTTATTGCCCTTTTGAGCATTCATAATGTGGTTTCTTACACTTTTCCAATCCATTATACCATGGAGACGAAAACAAAACAGACAAAACCTCCTCATGCTGCCTTACCTGGTAGTCAAAGTGTGTTTCTGCTCCTCCCTCTGGCCCCAGTCCAAGCTTGCCATTGGCCACTTGCTGAGCGTAGCGCCTGAGACAGGCTACGGCCATGGCCACTACCAACACACCTCCTACGACTGCCATGGATACAAGGGTGATGACTGTGCCACTGGAGCCCTGGGAAACCCTGGTTACCTGGGGGAGACCCCGTACATCTGTCCTCTGGGAAAAAAACATCATAAACAGTAAGTAAGACATGGGCAGTGGGGAAGTAACATAAAGGAAAACATATTATCATCTCACCATAGTGCTATTTGTTGTGCACATCTTGCCTTTTGAGAGTAGTCAACCCAAGCTAAGCTACCTCTGGGACTCACCACTGGAATCCAAAGGTCACCTCATCTCATTCTAACGACACATTTGCTTCTACGTAACTGTACACGACAGCAAGGTGGGCTCAGTGAGAGGTTGATGTTGAGTTTTAAAGACAGAGGTCTGAGAAGTCATGATAGTATGAACCAGGAACCTGTTAAAAAGACAGCAGTGTGTCATTCCGCCCCTTCTTCATCTTCTTTTCTATTCCTTAAATACAGTTTTCACTCCGCTGCCCAATACAGCAGAATTCATTAATTAACACATTCATTTAAAAGTGTATAGGTGTAAATCAGTATTCAAATCATGCTTTCATTTGAACTGAATTAATAAAAAAAAAAACTAATGCCATTTTTGAATGAGTTAACACATGTTCAATTACAATATTATCTGCAGCTCTGAGTTCAATTGGTGTGTTCATTTGTGTCTGTATGTGTGTGTTAGTGTGCGAATAATGAGGTTGATGACTCCTGTGACTGTTGCCATAGCACCTGGGATCTGGGAGGGGGGGGGTGTGGCTAAGAGAGATGAAGCACCATGGCAACAAGTGAAATGATGGTTCAGTTGTTACGAGGTGCAGACTCGCTGATTTGTTCTGGCCACTTGCACTCCAGGTGGCACACACTCAGCAGTTTACGCACACAGACAAACACCCACACACAGTGTAGTGGTGGATGGAAAATAAGCTCCATAACTGAGATGAATGTACTGCCTCTGTCTGTGCTGCGTCAAAGTACGGTGCAGTGCTTGAGCTCATAGAAGTCTTAGTTTGATGATATTCTTACGGAGCAAAACCAAATATATCCTCCACGCTTTGCTAAACACACCATGAGTCAGTCCTTCGTCCTGTGCATCACGTATTGTGATTGGCACTGCAGGTCTTCCTCAACACTAACACACCCGGCTGTGTATCTGAACCATTTCGCAAGCAATCATTTCATAGTACCAGTAATGTGGCCTGAATTAAATCACTCAACATCCCCCGGGTTGAGATACAGAATCGAGTCACTCTGCAACTACCGCAAGACAGCCACAAATAAAGTAAGGCAGATCCAAACAATACAAAGTAATTCAGCAAGGAGCTGCTAGTCTGTCGGGAGTCGAATTTCACACGAGCAAGTCTGATCATCTGTCAGGCTTGGGTCCACAAATGAATAGATGGTAAATGGTAGGCAATACAAATGAGTCATTATATCTCTGTTGCCTTGACAACTGCACCACATGTTTCTGATAGGAGGGGTTACAAAGGAACATTTTTCTCAGAGACTAATTGAGTTTGTGCGTATGTGTGTA